AATGTCCATTTCAATTTTATAAATGAGGAAAGAGAGCCTAGAAGAAATGAATTGATTCAGCTACCAAGAAACAAAGCTGAAATTCAAACTCTAGTCTGTATGATCTCTAAGCTCATACTTTTCAAACTTCTTCCTATTATATAACTAGGCCTGATAAATTCCTCAGCAAATAGCCAAGGAATATCAGAGCAAAAGAGCAACACCTCTAATATTAATTTTACAGCCTCTTGCAAGGTGAATCTTCCTCTTATGATCTTAATTCCTTAATGCTGATGAGAGATTATGACAATAGCTTATGATTTTTATCATTTTTTAAATGCAAATCTCACTAGTATCCCAGTTGCCTTGAACTTTTCTCCTGCCTCTGGTCCCTACATCCCAGGTGCTAGAATTACAGGTGTGTCCCATCATACCTAGCAATGCCTTATAATGATGTATTCTTAATTATGACTATGATTCTAATCTTATAAAACATTTCTATTAAACATACCAGCCACTGGAGTAGTTTCTTAGGTGGAATATTTTGCTTTCAAGTTGCTCATTAAAAATCTAAACTTTAAGGTTTATATAAGACAATTCTATTTTGTGGCTTTTTCTTCCCTTTTTTCACGAAGAGTAAACTGAACTGTCAAAATTAGGAAGAAGGATGGCTAAACATCTTCTACATAAATCTCAGGGACATGTCAACTGAGGCAAGAAGTCACACAACTGTCAAAAAGCAAGAGTAATAGGATTTTCGAATATACATCCTAATAATAAATCAAATGCTAATTCAAACCAACTCCAAATGATTTAAGAGATTTGTCAGGTTTTTTGACCAATGGGCTTGAGAATTTTTAATTTATTGTTTTCTTTACTTGATGGCCTTATTACTAACTCAAGCGACTTAGATGCATTAATTCCAGGCACTTGACCAAGATCTATTTTGAGAAGCCCTGTGTAGTTTGAAGTAAAATTGGGGGCTCAAGTTTCAAATCCGACACCCAGTGATTTGCTTGAATCACATAGGATTTTATTTTAATGTGTAAGCCAACACTTAAAGATTTTTAAAAAATCACTCATAAAGGGAGCCAGAATTGAGCTTCTTTAAAAAAAAAAGAAAAGAAAAGAAAAAGAAAAATAGGAAAGGAAAAAGGATAGATCTGGTAGCTTACATTCCTAAATAGCCAAGACACACTCAGTGTGCCCCAGCTGTTTCAATACAGGAGTGTGACCACCAGCCCAGTCCACATCTAATGCCTCTGTTCCCATCTAATGCATCTAATACCCAAGGATATGTTCAATAAACTAGGCCATAAAAACCCAGTTCTTAGTGCAGTGTGCCTCAGTCCCTTAGAACACAGGTATCAGAGGAACCTAAAGGTGTCAGGAATCCTTCAGCTGACCAAATGAAGCACTTCTAGTACCTAGCACAGGTGAAACTTCTAGAGCTCTGATGTCTGATGTCAATTAAAGAATAAAAAGTCTTTAAAAACATTCTACTTCTTTTTTTAAAAAGTATTTTCTTTTCTGGGCTATAACAGCACCTCCCACAGACATATACACAGATGTGTGCACCCATGAGTGGGAGGGTAGAACCACAGATTGATATCAAATGTCTTCTATTATTTCCTACTTTATTTTTGGGATAAGATTTCACTGATCACAGAGCTTGGTACTTAGGCTAGACTTACATGCTAGCAAGACCCTGGTCTGCTTGTCCCTGCCTACCCCACCCCCAGGCACCAGGTCACCAATGCCACCCAGTGTCTGGCTTTAAGGAGGGTGCTGAAGGGAGAATTCATGCTTGCAGGGAAGGAGCTTTCATTAGTGAGCTATCACCAGCCTCAAAGTACTCCCATTTTAAAGCCAGTTCTAATACTTATGCTGACTTTATCCACATAGAATAAGGATAAAGCTGGGGATTTTGCTTATCACTTCAGTATATTCTTTCCAATAACAAGACTCTCCCCTTTGCCATCAATAACTAAGGTTCATCATGTGTTCCAGAGCCAAAATGCAAGACCCAGTCAGGGCCAGAATGCCACTGGTCTTCTCTAGCAGTGTACTATGCCTCTACTCCTCTTTCAAGGGACCTTTTCTGTTGCTACTTTTTGCCCACAGGTGGTGAGATGAGAAATTGGCAGTTCTGTTTCAACTAACATTTTTGCAGAGCATCTGTGGAACAACCTCCAGACCCTTGCCCTTACTGCTCTTCTTTCTAGCTCCACTCACTCTCCCTAATACATAGGCACATTACTCTAGGAGGGAGTTATTTTGTTATGTTTTACAAAGAGTGGGTGGCAAGGCGGGGGGAGGGAGGGCTTTGCTCATAATCAGAGTAGGCAAATTAAGACTCCGAACTTCCCAAGACTTGGCCCAGGGCTCAGGAAGTCAGGGACACAGACCTTTGAATACTACTTCTGATGTGTCAAAACTTTGCAGCTGAGTACATAAGGACATAGACAAGAGGAAAGAAGTAAGGGAGGCCAAGGCACATGCCGTCTAATACAGGGAAAGGAAACACAGCCCTAAGCTTGTTAGGGAGGTCCAGTGTGCTCATGTGGCACAACGAGGGCTGAGACTTCAAATGAAACACAAAGAGAGGAAGGCACTATGTATCACTGTGTGGGAGTGGCCAGACAAGGAGGCCATCTGAACAGGGACAAGACAGCTTGGTTATGGGCACATCCAGACACCCGCACACCGTCCTACTAACTAGAAGATCCATGCAAGACGGAGAAAGGGCGTAGAGCACTCACTTCCCTTCCATCACACCGGACAGGCCATCAAAGAGCGATTCAGCAGAGGGGTGGGAGTGTGGGCTCTGGAGCTGGATGACCTTGGGGGGACTTACTAACCCTATCTGTGGCACTTCTCTCCTGTAAACAGGAAATGACGCCACTTTTTACCTCATCAAATTGTTAGCTCACTCCTTGGTAACACATTTAGAACAATGTCTGGCAGAAAAAGTGACCCATAGGTTAAATAAGCAGGACACACACAAGGAACACACAGAGGAGACTTGCACCTAAACCCTGGAACACAAAAATAGGATACTCCAGTTACATGTACATGCCCTTCTAGGAAGACTGGCAAAATCCAAGACATTCTGAAGCCAAGGTGATTACCATTATCGTTGATCTGGGGGGAAGAGGGGTGAAGGTTAGGGCAACTGGAAAAGAGAGCAGGATCAGGAATTCTCAGCAAGGCCAGACTAATTTGAACTCCATGTTAAGAGCAGAAGGTGGGGTCAGGGAGTGAAGGCAGCAGTTGCTAGGTTAGGCAGAGTTCCAGCCAAGGCTGACTTGTAGTGGACATTATCCCTGCCCATGACCTTGGGCTGTTGGGCCTGACAGGGGCAAATACCCACTACACTGAGTCGTGTCCTCCACATTGCTACTGGAGGTCAGAGTGCTTGATGTGGAACCAGGCTACCCACGTCTCCCTCCATGGTACTTCCTCCTCCTTTACCTTACCTTTCCCAATCTAGTTTCTTGGTCCTTGCATGTCACTTTAGCTAAACTCTAAGGATGGTCTATGACCTCCCAGTTTCCACAGCCAGGGGCCTCATCTCCATTTGACATGGGAATTTTCCTTGGTCTTTTCTTGCATTAGGTTTCTCGTACATAGCTCTGACTGACTTAGAACTTGTTTATGCAGCCCAGGTTGGCATTGCAGTCTTCCTGCCTCCCACTTCAGAATGCTAGGATCACAGGCACGTGTTACCAACTACATGTGTTTTGGTAAACGTCCTTTGGTCCTGGGTGCCCACTTACCTTCCTGTTTGCTATTTTGCAGCTCCTGTTATATTTACCGATCCCTTTAAATCCTAGATCAGAAGCTTCTCAGAAACTGCCGTCTCCTTCATGCTCACTACCACCACCCTTGTCATCTGTTTCTGAATGGTCTCCTGGCTGGTCTCCCTGTGCCCATCTCTGCATGTCGCCTCACTCCCATGCTGCTTCTAGAGTGTCTTTCTCCAAAACAAATGTGGTTATGTCATTCCCCTTTCAAAGCTCTACTCTTGATCTGCACATCCTCAATGGTGGAGTCTCAACCTCACAGGTAAGAGATTGCATAACCTCATTAACACCACTCCCCGTCCCCTGCCTTTACTTTCTACCCTTACTCAACACTGAATTTCTCACCATCCCATGACATGAAACCTGGGCTCCTCTTCACAACTGGTATATGGGTGTGTGCACATGTATGTGTTCACATGTGTGCAGACATTCTGTTGTGCATATGTGCTGATACCCAAAGTTGACGCTATGTGTTTTCCTCCTCAATGGCTCTCGCTTTATTTACTGAACCTAGAGCTCACCAATTCCACCAGTCTAGCCAGCGTGCTCCAGGGAGCCCATGTCTCTGCTTCCCAAGTGCTGGGATGACCTGCACACTCTTACATGGGTCCTGGGGATCTCAACTATGATCCTCATGAATGTGAGGAAAATAGTTTATTCACTGAGCTATCACCCCAGCCTCTAGACTTTATATAAGAAAGTCTTTTCTTCCAGTTGTTTGACATCTTCTAAGAAATGTCTACCTCAGCTTCCTTAAGCAGCAAACGATATTTTCTTACTCTAAGAAATTTATATATTGTGTGTGTGCATGTGTGTATGATGTATGCGCATGGGCATGTATGCGACGAGACATGTGTAGAAGTCAGAGACTAACAACCTGTGAGGTTTGGTTCTCTCCTTCTGCCGTGTGGGTCTTGGGGATCAAAGTCAGGTCTTCAGGATTGGTGGCAAGCCCCTTTACCCAAGGAGCCATCTTGTCATCCCTAGCTTTTTACTTTTCAAGTGTCAACACAACAACACCATGGTGACACTCTCTTAAGACACTTTCCTGGCAAGACCTAAGTGACCTGAATCATGAGACCCAGAGACCTCCATGGTAGAGCCATGTGCTGCCAAAGCTCCCACACCCAGCATGGGGCCTGACTGGGTGAATTAAATGAAACCCTTTCACCCTAGCAAGGTCTGCATTGAAGCAGAAAAGAAGGCTGTTCTCACCGCTGTACGTCCTTGTTCTTCCACAAGGAGGCAGACTGGGCCTTTGGCACTCTTTCGATGAAATTCACCAGCTCTTCCATGAGAAGCCTGAGTTTAAACAAAGCATGAAGAATATTGGAGAACAATTTGCTGCTAACACTGTAGCCAGGAGAGACAGATCTGCCCACCTCCCACTAGTCTGTTTTACGAGACAGACATTTTAAACTGAATGCAAGCAGCTGACCCTTTTTTTGGGAATCAGAAATGCTTCACTTAGAGGGAGACCTTAAGAGCTAGTGAGACTGGCCCAAAGACAGACCTCTGCCATCCTAGGGTGGCACACCTTAACACAGGCAAGGGAATCCAAGGAGTGCTGCACTCAAGAGGGCCCAGGGCTGCAGATACCGAAAGCACTCCTGAAAGCTAGACATAATAACAAAGCTAGAAATAGAGCTTGGGATGCTGAGGCAGGAGAACTGCTGAGTTCTAGGCTAGCTTAGGCAACAGGATGGGACTGCCCCACCCAAACACATACCAACTTTCCCACCCACCTAGAAATACATCTCAACATATGAATCTAGTTCATGCTCTTAATACAGCTAATCCACACTGGCTAATATCCTGTCTGTATCAACGCACAGATAACAGCAATACACAAATTTATTGTCAACAGGAACCCAAACAAGTGGTGTCACATCCATCTTTTTTCCTAACCCCTTCTGTCTGCTCCTTGGGGCAGTGCTGGTCTCACTGAAGATCTCAGGCCCAGGCTCAGTGCTCTGGGATGCTCCACGGGGCCCATCCTTTTTTTTTTTTTGTTTTGGTTTTACGAGACAGGGTTTCTCTGTATTGTTTTGGAGGCTGTCGGTCCAACCCGGCCTCGAACTCACAGAGATCCGCCTGCCTCTGTCTCCCAAGTGCTGGGATTAAAGGCGTGCGCCACCACCGCCCGGCTATAAAAATGTGTAGCTTTGAACTTGTGATCCTCCTGCCTCTGCCTCCTTCAGCAAATCCTACCGGTGTGCGCCACCACAACTGGCGGGGCCCCACCCTTAAGCACCACCTTTCTCAGACTACAGTAATACTCGCAGTGGTGTGTACACGCTGCAGTGATGTTTTCACACGGCAGATTCTGTTATATATCTCGTCACTAGTTCATCCTGTTAGATATCTGTAAAAACAACCTAACAGTTTACAGCACTCCTCCATCCTGTATATTTGATCCTGAAAGTTTTGACTTTGCTTATTTCAAAGGAATACATTATGGGTTTTTATTTCCCCAGTAGTAATTCTCTTTACAGGGTTTTTTTTCTTTTCTTTTCTCTCAGTAACTGATTCTATGGTGACTTGCAGCAGACACCTACAACTGTGAAGCCTTGGTTGGGTAGAAAATAAAGCATGACGTTGGTTGACTACAATTTGTTTGTTTTTTGAGACAGGGTTTCTCTGTAGTCCTGGCACTCACTTTGTAGACCAAGCTGGCCTTGAACTCAGAGATCCACCTGCCTCTGCCTCCCTTGTGCTGGGATTAAAGGTGTGTGCCTGGCTGTAAGTTTTGTTTTTTAAGGTTTATTTATTTTTATGGCTGGAGAGAGGGCCTGGTGGTTTGGAGCACTTCTTGCTTTTGTAGAGAACCAGGGTTTGGTTCCCAGCACCTACATAATGATTCACAGCTATCTGGAACTCCAGTTCTAGGGGATCTGATGCCCTCTACCGATCTCTACAAGGACCAAGCACAGGAGTGGTGCTGATACATGCAGGTAAAACACTTAACCATTGAAATGAACTAAACAATTATTTTTTAGATGAACTTGTGTGTGTGCGTGTATGTACATGCCCATATATGCACGCATGTTCGAAGGTACCTGTGGAGCCAGGAGCAAGAACCCCTGGAACAGGGGGTGGAGAGCTGACTGACGTGGGTGATGGGAACTGAGCCTGAGCCCTCTGCAAGAGCAGCAAGCCTTCTAACTGCTGATCCCTCTCTCCAGGCGCAAGACTGCTTAGTCTTAAATCCCGAGTGCTATATTTCATGCTGTCACCAGGGAAGGACAACTTAACTGCTTAGTCTTCTGTCCTTGTTTTCTATAAGCTGTCTCTATTTATAGCCCTCAGTAAATCTTGAAAAGGGGGATATTTTCAAAGCAAAGTAACACAGCTTCTTTTTCTTCTTCACTTAAATATGCAAAGTTCCTTTGCTCTGAAGCTCTTTGCTCTAGATCTTTGTGCCATCTTCCTAGGCCTATGTAGCATCATCTACTAAGGGGGTTGCCTAGGAATCCTCCTCTCAGCTAGGCTAAGACATACTGGAACTGCTAGGGGCACCAGTCTCTAGGGATCTCCAGTGAGCATTCTTCTATCTAGAGAGCAGCCTACTCTTCCCTGTTCCTGGGACATTGCACTGAGCAGTGGCCACCGAAGGAGCGAGGCACAACATTCCTCTTACCTGCCGATCTGCATGGTGGGTTCTGTGGCATACACTGTGCCTGTGAACCCTGTGTGCTCGGTGATGTAGGGCAGCGCCATCATGCAGTGATAGTTAGAGATGAGAATCACATCGACTGTAGACAGGTCTATTAGCTCCGTCTGAAGAGAAAGGGAAGGCGATATGTGTCTGTGCCAGGGCACATACATCAGCAGAATGGGACTGACAAATGATGCTGTCAGAAGGGAGAACAGTAGTTTCGGTTCTGCAGAATAATGAGGCCTTTCCCATAACACTGCCCTTCTCTCACTGTGGATGTATCCTAATACTGACAGCAGATAACAGGGTAGGATGGCTAGCTATGAGAATGTGGCTGGCTCACCAGTTATCACACTGATCTTACAAGTTTAGCAAATAGTCAAATAGCGAGACAACTAAATTTTTTCATTATTGTTGTTTTTTCAGTGCTTCACTATAGTATTCATATGGGAAGAAACAAAAAAGAATAGTGGTCATGCCTTAGATCTTCAACGGGGCTTTTTATGTATCCCTCTTGTGACAGCACCCTGCACGGTAGCACCCTGCATACTTTTCCAACAACTCTTCTGACTTCCCACCTAACAAGCCTCTGCAAACTAGTGGAGGGCAAGGTTAACTCAAGCACAGACTTCAGGAAAAGTGAGCTACTAAAGCTTATAGCTGGCAAGCCCTTGTCACAGAGGAGCTAGCCCCCAAACATGTGATACATCTAGGATGAGCATAGTTGAGCACTGGAGTGTGTGACGCAGGAGAATGGGTTGTGGAGCTGCTGTGTCCCGCTCAGAGAAGTAACAAAGACATTGATGACATAAGCAAACAATAGGAAGCAGTGTGCCACCTGGGATGTAGATATTTTCTTGTTGAGTGATGTAACAGAAATAATTTAATAAAGCTGCCAGCATCATCAGCATGTATGTGAAGGACATAAGCGCCTCATTGCTAGGACAATGACATCTATGGTGCTGTGTAGCAGTTTTCTCTAAGATAAAATATTCCATCTCAGATGAGATGCAGAGTGTTTTCAAGGGAGGTGAAACATTTCATTCTGCTGTGGAGCTCATTAAAATTCAGGAAGTAAATAACCCAAAGGCTTCAGGAAGTTCCTGAAACTGACCTGATAGGTGCCTTCCTCCTGAAGCATATATAAATAGGAAGGATGGCTGAGGACACCACTCAGACCAGCAGAGGCTTAGATCAGTTGAGCTTTCTGGAAGAGACACTCCCGGACTTGCCCAGCTGCCTGCAAGTTGTGCAGTATATTCCAGGTTTCTATCACTGGCGAACCATCACTCATGCTGGGATGGAAATTTAGTAAAGTAACTGTATTTGAGTCATTTCTGTTCTGTAAGTAATCCCTCACCCATATTCTTTCAAGTAATACCAGTACCAAGTTGCACTTTGGCTTATTACTGGTTCCCTATCTGGGGTGAGTAGATGTTTGTTCACGTCTCTCCAGGAGTAGTGTCACACAGCACATGGCAACAACAAACCTATGGCAATATCCCATATCTGTTAGCCTTAACACCACACTCTGTCCTGTTCTTCAAGACAATATCCTCACGGTGGAGGTGGCTGTACTCCCTGCTATCTGTAGAATCATCTTTAAAACAAGGAAATTAAAACAGAGTAGCAGAGGGACAAACAGATAAGAAAACTGTAAGAGTGACAGTTGAAGCAACAGTGAAACTCAAAAGCAGACTCCTTTCCTTGCATGTGAGGACACAAAAGGGAATCTGACCATTCTCTTTAACATACGACAATAAGCCCACAGAGCCTGACAACATATAAAAATATACTGAGGACAGTCAGAAGCAAAAACATTATTCTTAAATTATGTATCTAAGACACATGATTACATAAACATTTCCCCCAAATAATTTAATATTGAAATCACATTTATGCACTGACATTTACATATTTACTTACATATTTTAGTGGGATAAAGTATATCTTATTTTAAAAGTGTTGTGTACAGCATTTGGTTCCACACACTGCAAACAGGGCCACACAGTCACAATGCAGTAGTTGCTTACTATACTGCACTGGATCATCCACAACTCAGTGCAGATTGGAGGGAAACGGATAGCTAAAGTAGTTTCATGGGTCCATGATGGGCTGTCAGGCTCACTGGACTAAAGTTGCTACCTCTCCTGTATCTACCACACTCAGGCTTTCTCTAAGTCTTAACAGCAATATGGCGCTTCTTTAAAACAATGACTATTGCCATTTAAGTCATATAACCTTGCTTGAAAAATGATCTATGGTTTTAGAACCCTCCATGTATGAACAGCACAACCAATGGTGCACTGTGAGAAGTGTCTTTTTTAGAAGTCCCATGCTCTGGAACAAGTCACAAAGTCCTCAGAGTACTAATCCACAGGCTCCACAATCTTGGCCATAAAGTCAAGGCTGCACAGTCGGTTGTGGCATGCTGAAATAAGTGCAACACCTGGGACACGGAATCTTCTATCAGATGGGAACCGCCCCGCCGATTCTTAGGTGACAAATGCGGTAACTAATGAGAGAAGTCTCAGGGTCTTGACACTAACTATGCCTTGACTTCACAGTGCTGATTCCAGGATGCTTTGCTTCTCATAAGAATCACTTTCATCTTACCTCTGGTAAGCAGAATTCAGGCACAGAATCCACAAATACATGACCTGAGCATTCTTTTAGCTCCTAAAAGAGATGGGGAAGAAAAATACTAAGAGATACTTAATAGATACAGCACCAAGGAAATTCAACCTCCACACCTAACTTGGAGGGTGGGCAGTTATTTTTAGACAAACCATTTCCTATTTTGGCTCAGGCTGGCTAGATGCCTGACTGGGGGGTGAAAACACTGCTTGGTGGCAGACTCAGGGTTTGAGTACACATTCCCTGACGCCTCTTTAAGAAGTTAGGAAGAACACATGCTGCTGCTATAATTTGCAATCCAGTCTTTTCCAAGAACTAGTTACCAACTAAAAGCTCCCTGGGCCCTGTCTAATATGGGAGGGACCAGAAACTGGAGAAGGGGCCACAGACCCTGTATTTATGACAAGGACCTCTGGTGATTCTGCTTTGTCAGGTTAGAAGTCCAGTCCCAGACATATTACTTAGGAGCCTTTCCTTCCACCTATCAAGAGAAGGGAAGGGGCCTAACAAGGGCGAGGCTCGACAGTGGGGGCGGTGTTAGAAGTGTCATATCACCACAGTGCAGGTGTTGTCTGCTTCACAGAACATGGGCTTACTTAGGGTTACAAACAAAACATACTTATTCAAAAGAAGGAAGGCTTATGTCCTAAAAATGGGATCATGTAACTTCCTACCTCACATGTAACTGCCCACCTTTATATGCACACCTGAGTTAGGACTCTCCCAAAGGCTTGCTGTAAAGAAGTCAGAGAGAGCAGCTCAGACAGGATACTGTTTTTCTGTTGGTTTTCCCCTGCAGCATGTGTGTAGGGGTGGCGGTGGTAAACAGAAGTCACGGTGTCTGGAGATGGACACGCCATGGAGTCCCATTCCACTAGGGCTGCTGCATTTACTTCCTATCAAATAGTTGCGAGTCCACTGAGAAGCAGGTCTAGAACCTCACCCTGTCAGTGCCCATGTACGAGCAGCATCAGAAAACCCCCCAGACAACGCCCACAGATCAGCGTCGCTGAAATGATGACAAAGCACATTGGAATGGAAAGGCTGGAGGCTGGGGTGGGCCACTGACAGGTTGGCTGCAGAGCCCCCGGAAAGCCACCAGCACTTTAAACAAGAGGATCATCAAGCACAGGTCTATGACTTTACAGTCACCGTAGTGTCAACTAATTATTCTTAGGAATTTTAAAATCTTTATTGGGGTCTTAAATGCTCGAATGCTGCTCCTGTGAGCACTAATGATAGGATGAGCCAAAAAAAAAAAAAAAAGAGATGAATAATTCTTAATTACAAAGGACCTGCTAGCTAAAAACAAATGAGCAATTAATTATGTTTAATGAGGGAATTCCCAGCTCCTTCAAGATGAGGCTAAAATGGAGGTGTGGGAGAGGCGAGAAAGGAGAAGGGAAGACGTTTTTGTTTGTTTTCTTTTGATTAAAAATTTTTTTCTTTTGCGTGTGTGGGGCTACAGGGGTGAGGGAAGGATATGGGGGACCCAGAGGTGAATGGAAATGAGGTAAATGATGTGGAACTCCCAAAGAATCAATAAAGAAGTTAATTTCAAAAAGAAGAACAAAAACAAACAACATCCAAAGGTGAGCCACACCATGGGCAGTTTCAAACCTCTGCAAGACCGGAAGGGGCACCGATCTTCCTCCTCACCGTGCTATGCACCAGTGCACGTCCTATGACAAAGTCTCTGCAGTCTCTGCGTTCTCAGCCACCAGGCCTGCAGGAGACTGGTTGCCATTCCAGACAAGTACAATGTTGCTGTCTTTCCCTCACTCCTCCCTTTTAATGAGACACGCCCACATAGACATGCAAGTCATTTCACTCACAATGCAGTGGTAATGCAATGCTTTTGAGTCTTCCTGGGGATAATGATTTATAGCAGGTTGAAATCAGATACACAGGTTCCTGAATGTCACATAATTTTATAGTCAGCTATGAGGGAAATCTAGCTTCAAATTATGCATCTGGGTTTCACTTGAGTATGGGGTGCAGCTACAGGAATTAATTCTGAAAAAGCCCATGCTTCTTCAGCAGTGTCCATTATAAGCGGGAAATGTCTTACTCAGATGAATCACATGAAAGATCTTTAAACTCATTCAGCTTTTTAATTTTGAAGCTCAGGCGAGGACCACAGAGTGGCGTGGAGATGCTCTATATGTTTTAATCTTCTACCACTGACGAAGTATGCCTATGCCACAGTCTTAATTGTTTTAAGCACTGGGATCTCATTTAATAAGCTGATCAAACTCTAATCAGCATCACCTTTAAGATCCCAATTACAACTGTAGACAGTTTTCTTTGGTGATAAATTTGCAAAGTATCTGAGATTGTCACAGACACAGATGTGACTTGAGGACAAACACAGAGTCACTAAGGGTAGAGATAGCAATTAGCAAGTATTAGAGACTTAGGGTTTGGAAGAGAACACACATGAAAAAACACAATGAGCGCTGAGTCATCAGCATGGCTCTGGCAGGACAGGACAGCTTTCAACTGTGTACAAGCAGACTTTGATTTTTATTTTACATATTACCTTGTCCAAAAAAGCATTTCCATCTTTTAGAGACCAGCCAGGAAGATTAGACAGCCTGGGACTGCAAAACAAAAATTGAATTATCCTAAATACATTATAATCTTCAGTGAATTCAAGATGACTTTACATTCACCATACAATTAAACACAGCTAATGGTTACTGGCATTGGTTCTTACCCAAATCAATGGAGATGAGAACTAACCATATTGTATTAAGCCTAAGAATCCATGGTGGTCCTTGCCTATAACTCCAGCAACTGTGAGGCTGAACAAAGAGGATCTCAAGTTTGAGGACAGCCTAGATGACACAGTTAAACGCTGTCTATACAGAATAAGACAGCTGGGTATCATATGTGCCTGTGGTCATAGCACTCAAGGAAGCTGCAGCAGCATGGGCACTGAAGTCAGCTTAGGCTGTGCAGAGAGATGCTATCTCAAGAACACCCAGGGCTGTGAATACAGCTGGGTGATAGAATGCTTATCTATCATGTGCAGGAGCCCTGGTTTAATGCCTAGCACCACCAAAACCAACCAAACAAGGAGGTTATACAGCAAAAGAACAGCTTAGTACAAAACTGGGGAAATTAAAAGAATTTATGAAGAACAGGAAGGGAAGAGTACAGATGAAATGCTGAGAGCATTTCAGAGTTTCCAATCACTAACTACCTTGGTTTTATTTATGCTCAACAGCCATCATGCAGGCAGAATGGGTGGCTTCCTAGACTTTGAGAAAGCAGACTTAGGTTAGGTGCTGGGCTGTGAATTCAGTGCCAACAAGTAGATTATACTAGGTCACCTTGAACTCTTCCTGTCATCTCCTTTTGTTCAGGAGATTTTTATGGGATCCTATGTATACAGGTAGATTAAATATACAGGGGCTGGAGAGAGCTAGAAGTGAGTACTGCCTCTTGCAGGACCCAGGGTTTGGTTCCCAGCACCCACACTGGGTGTCTCAAAACTACCTGTAACTACATTTTCAGGTTATCCAAAGTCTCCTGGTCTCTGAGTGTATCTGCATATGCACAGTACATAAAAATTCATGCACACGCCGGGCGGTGGTGGCGAACACCTTTAATCCCAGCACTCGGGAGGCAGAGGCAGGCGGATCTCTGTGAGTTCCAGGACAGCCTCCAGAGCCACAGAGAAACTCTGTCTCGAAACCCCCCCCAAAAACAAACAAACAAAAAACCCCAAAACAAACAACAAAAAAACCTCATACACATACATTAAAAGTTATTCTTTACCGTGCGTGGGAACAGACCACAAGATACACAACAACCCACTTTACGAATTTTATTAGTAAAGAGTAGGGAGGGGGTGTGCATACAGGCCTGTATGGAAGAACCCTGGAGAGAGAGGAAGTTGGTTGGGCGTGTCTGTTTTTTTTGTTTGTTTGTTTGTTTTCCGAGACAGGGTTTCTCTGTATTGTTTTGAAGGTTGCCCTGGAACTCACTCTGTAGACCAGACTGGCCTCGAACTCACAGAGATCTGCCTACCTCTGCCTCCCGAGTGCTGGGATTAAAGGCATGTGCCACCAATGCCCGGCTGAGAGTGTCTGCTTTTAAAGGTCACTCAGCGCATGCGTATGAAGGCTTACATAGCCACACCACACATACACACGATTATGTGCCACGCTGCGCATGCACCTAACACCCTGGGATGACTGAGTATTTTGCCTGAATGTTGATGGCCACATGGGACCTTGGAAAAGACAACAAAATACTTAAATCTTAAAAATTAAGCATAAAAACCAAACATTTACTAATAACCATAAAGAAACAATCCTTTGGCATATATATCACCTTACCATCTGCTAACAATTGGAGTCAATCTGCATACTAATCAGATGGATATACTTACTTGATTTTTTTTTTTTTTTGAGACAGGATTTCTATTGTTGTTTAGAGGCTGTGCTGGAACTCTCTCTGTAGACCAGGCTGGCCTTGAACTCACTGAAATCCACCTGCCTCTGCCTCCCGAGTGCTGGGATTAAAGGCGTGCACCACCAACACCCAGCTTGCTTACTTGATCTTACATATATCTTACTACATCAATAAATCTTGGCTGAATATTTGATTCTGCAGGAACCAGACATCTTCAATATTTTTTCAGAGTTTATAAACATTTTGATATTGTAATCATCAATGTTAAGAATGCCATTAGAAGCCAGGCCTTGGTGGCGCACACCTTTAATCCCAGCACTCAGGAGGCAGAGGCAGGCGGATCTCTGTGAGTTCGAGGCCAGCCTGGTCTACAGAATGAGTTCCAGGACAGCCTCCAAAGCCACAGAGAAACCCTGTCTCGAAACAACAACAACAACAACAACAACAACAACAAAAAGAATGCCATTAGACATGAATATATGATTTAAAAAATGACAGAAGTAGGGCCATTTCAGAAATTGTTGGGCATTCTATACATACTCAAAGCCAGAATTCATCTAACAATTTATGAAATTCAAGCCAGCTTCAAACAGCAATGTAAAATTTTAAATTGTGTTTATTTTGTGTGTATGCAATATATATCATGGTATTTGTGTGTTCAAAGAGTAATTTTCAGAAGTGGGTTCTCTTTTTCTCCCAGGTAGGGCCTTGGGATCAACTTTGGTAGCAAGTACCTTTATTCTCTGAGCCATCCTACTGGTTCAAAAATAAGCAATTTAAAAAAATTAAGCATTCTAACACATTACAACTCAAAGATACGTCCAGATTTACTTACCTTACTAATGCACTAATCTGATATTTACACACAGGAATGGCAGGAAAACACTGTTTTTGTTTTTGTAATTAAACCTTTATGTTTTTATAAGAATGGAAAAATCATGTACGTACAGTAAATGCATTGCAGTTCATGCCAATGCAGTAGTCTGGAGTGGAGATGATTCAGGCAGAGTGGACTGGTACTGCAGAGCACGATGCTATGTATTCAGAACCCAGACTGCAGTGCAGGCACCTGATGCAACACAGGTGAGTGCAGATAGAAACTCCTGGATTCATTTTGACTTTGAATTAATTTTTGGTCATTGTACATTCAGAAACCTTTTACTGTTGCCAAATCTACTGCAGCCTTCACAATCAATTATGTAGGGTCCCAACCTACAATTTAAGAAGCTGGGCAAAACTCGGCACCTGTTGTTTAAGTTTCCGATTATGGAAAATGAAGCTACTTTTCCTAAGAGTCATAAAGTGATTCTCTATCCAGGCAAATGGTTTCTAGAAGGTAAGGCTAATTTCACAAAGAAAGGTCGAATCAAAACAAAAACAAACAAATGAAACAACAAAAAAAGCATTTATGGGCCAGCAAGAAGGCTTTGTTTTGCAGTAAAAGCACTCTTGCCAAGCAAACCTGAAACCTGAGTTCAACTCCCAGGTTTCATGGTAGACGAGAGAACCAAGTTCTGAAAGGTGTCTCTTGATCTCTACACATGTGCTGTGTGCATGTCCACACCTCTCACCCTACACACATAATAACAAACTAAAAATCAAACAACTATTTATTTCTAGTAATCTGAGTTCTGAAAATGGCAGCAATTCAGGAGAAAATATGATGATTGGAGAGGAACATGTTATTAATACATTTAACTATTTTAGAACCATTTCTTTGACACAAAGGATACCCCCTTTTTATCAAGAAGTCTGTTTTTCTAATGATTGTTTATTTTGGAAAATATGCAAATTAGTCCCACAAAGAAATAACCTAAAGCATTATAAAACATTTGCCTAGAAAAATAGTGAAAGGTGTATAAAATAAATGAGCAGAAGTTCTGGGCAGCAGTTGGTGCTCTCTCCATCAGAATGAGCATAGCCCAGCTGGTGCCAGTTGGTCTCAAAAAAAAAAAAAAAAAAAAAAAAGTGAAAGGTAAGTTGAATAAGATAGTTTTAAAAAATACATTTTTACAGTTTTCTTGTATGAACTGCATTATGCTTTTAAATCAGAAGATAATACAACTTATTGATTCAACAATATTTGTAATAGCTCATTATTCTGAAGTGAAGAAAACAGGAAGAAACCTCTGCGTTTGGTCCAATGCTTTAGAAATCAAGGTGTTCACGCAGTCACTTAGGATCTTTATATCAAGCACCCAGGTGAGTCCTGGATCCAACTGTGAACGAAGCATATGTGTCCTTATACAAAGGCAGACAAGACATTGCACACCCACACAAAGGCAGGCAAGATATTACACACCCCACACAAACAAAGGCAGGTGAAACTTTACACACCCACACAAACAGCCAGAGAACAGGCTGCTCAGAGAATGAGGTGCCCCAGTAGTACCAAGTACCACAGAAGATGCCTAACAAGCCTAGGGAGCATCAAAAGACTTCCCTGGGCACAGAACTAAACTGAAGTCTGGAACGCACAGGGAAGGCAGCAGGCATTTTTATCATGCTCACAGAAACACTGATTCCCACATGATGTCTCAGGCCCTCATCTGGCTAGTGTCATCTGCACATCCTCCCAGCACAGAGCCCGCCACCTTAGATGATCTGAGAGAGGACCTGCTGTGCTGACCAGGAGAAAGACGGGGCCCAGAAAAGGTGAGGAGCTGAAGGGACAATAAGAGCAGTAAGACAAACAAAACCCTGAGCGGTTAGACAAGTGCTAGACAAGCCCTGGCTGGTACTTCTAAGGGTGATTCAGGAGAGGACAGAACCTATGTCTTCTGATAAGAGAACAGTAATTTCGACCTAATATGGGTCACCCACATCACAAGACTATAAGGGCTGGTAAGATGGCACAGAGGTTAAGAGCAATGGCTGCTCTTCCAGAGGTCCTGAGTTCAATTCCCAGTAGCCACATAGTGGTCCACAACCATCTACGAGATCTGATGCCCTCTTCTGGTGTACAGGCATATGTGCAGACAGAAGACTGTAAACATAATAAATAAATAAAATTCTTTAAAAAAAAGACTATATAAAATAATTGACCCGTATGTCTAAAAATGTCAAGGTTATTAAAATGGATAGGTTGAGAAACTTCCAGATTGAAGGAGACTCAAAACCAGAAAACTGAATACAATGTTCTATCAACACAGGATGCCACATCACATATTCTTTGTTT